AGAACATAACTGAGAAATAAGATGAACTAACCTTAGGATTCATATCGAACAACGTCATGAATTTAAATCTCAGTAGAACAACATCACCTTCGAAGATACCTTGCTCCATTAGCGATCTGCAATCAACAAAATGTACATACTCAGTGATATTGTCAGAAGTGGAATCAGCACTAATTGAACGAAAGGTCTATTGAATTGGAACTTGGTTAAGAGTTCGAAAGGAATCTGATAAGTGAATATGTAATTCGCTGAATGAGACGATCAGTTGTTTTGAGAATCAATTGGAAGGAAAAAGTGGCAATTGAAACTAAAAGAAACCTGGATGAGTCAAGCCATCCACGATTGAGTGCAGCTTTTTCGATGAAATTCTGTGGCCGAAATACAGTCATTTCCTTATTGGGAACGACTCTAGGTGAATGCACCAGAGCCATATCGTACTGTTCATTTTCGAGACCTTCCGAGAACGATACCGACGGCATCATTGGGGTTCGACCGATAGTACCACAATACTGAATTATTGGTTGTCTTAATTCAAAATATCGATCGGTTGTCTTAATCATTGGCTCATTTTAAAAATTTTTTGGAACCTTCAATAACAACTCAAGCATCATTACAATTAAAATTTCATCAATATCAAAATTTCAAACAGAGAACAAATATCTGATTGAAAGAAAACATTTTTGATTTGTTCAAATTCAAAAATTGAATGAACACAAAATTGGTGAATTTTGATAATAAGCGATGAGAACGTACAGCGCCTGGACTAGGGCTAACTCCTCGAGGGAGTGTTCCTGAACGTGGTAAAGTGCCCAGCTCACTGGCGTTGAACATTTGTCCACCGGTCGATAGTGCCGGACTGGTGCCACGACGTCCTGGTGGTCCGGCTAGATGTCGTTCGGAAGCACTGATCGGAGTTTGTCGTCGTAGAGTTCCAGGACCAATGGATTCCTTAACTAGACGACTTATTTTATTCATAATAGGTTACTCTATGAATGCAATCAATATTGTTTCGTAACGGAGAGTTATCACGGGATATGAAATGAAAGGAAGCAATTCGAGCATATTCGCTATTAATACCATATTTGCCAATATCTTTCTTCATATTCGCTATTGATAGCAATTCAAGCATAATGGTATCAACAGCGAATATGAACAAGAATAACGGCGACAATATACCTCGCCTGGTCTAACAGCTTGAGGTGCAATTTGATCGTTTTCGAATCCCAGTCCTTTGCGCAACATTTCCGGTGGAATGAAACGTTTCAACGATAGTTCTTCTGAGTATCGAATACCTGAAGTGATAAACTCTATAGATGGCACTTGATGTACACGAATTCTTTCTTTGACAACCACTTCAAAGATCCGTTGTGGCTGTTCAAAGTAGACAGTTCAAAGACGAGATTGTTGGTTGATCAAATATTTAGAAAGTTTTCTTGGTTTNAACGATAGTTCTTCTGAGTATCGAATACCTGAAGTGATGAAGTCTATGAATGGCATTTGATGTGAACGAATTCTTTCTTTGACAACCACTTCAAAGATCCGTTGTGGCTGATCAAAGAAGACAGTTCAAAGACGAGATCGCTGGTTGATCAAATATTTAGAAAGTTTTCTTGGTTTGTCTACGATTCTCAATCAGTACCACACTTCCAAAAGCTGATTGTGTCCGAATTGAATGAATCGTTAATATATGGATAATTTGAGAACGAACCAATTTC